CTGGTCGGTCTCGGTCCGGGTCCACGGCAAGGAGGAGGTGGAAGAGGCCGAGGTGGTCCGTGTCTCTCACGACGGCACGAGCCACCTGAAGCCTGAATCGACAGTCGGCTCACCGGTTCTCCGGCAATTTTTGAACAAGCTCAATCCCAAAGCGGATTGGAAGCGATGCCTTATCTGGGAAGTCGAACTGAAATAAAAAAGAGAGCGAGCTTTGCAAGGGCAGCCAGTGACAGCCATAGCAAGGGTTAGGCGGCACACAAGGTGTGACACCCCAACTGCCTCCGCGCGGATGTTAAGGGATTGGGGTTGAGCATTGTCTTAGAGCAGATTCGATCCGATCAGGCTTTGTTAGAATATTTAAAGTATTTGAAATATAAAAACTCGGATTATTAAATTGGAAATGTTGAACATTTGTATACAGCATATACATTGTTTAGTTATATTATTTCAGTTATTGCAAATCATTTAGATTCCTGTAAAGAGAGTCCGGTTCTGTCGAAATCAAAAAACGAATATTCCAAATATGTTTGATATTCTAAGCAATTGCAACGTCAAGGAAAGGAGTCCGGGACACCTTCTGATTTAAAATACTCCTACACTTGATTATTCAAATCATTTTAATTATGCAAGTTTGTTACTTTATTTGTTTCATATAATTTCAATAGTTTATAGATTTTGTTATTTCTGCTGTTTTAATATTTTCAAATATTTTAAATGCTACGGAAGGGGATCCGCTGCTTACTGGCGAATCTAATGTAGCATAGCATTTAAGTTCTTTAGATGTCTACAACATTTAGAGTAGTATGTTTTACATTTTTAAAATCCTAAGTGTGCTTTAATGCTGTATATATTTAAAATCACACCGAAGGGGGTCCGGGATTCGGGACCCCTAGATTGTCAATGTGGGGCCCCTAGATTGTCAATTTGGGCCCCCGAGATTGTCAATTTAAGAGCCCTAGATTGTCAATTTGGGGCCCGCAGATTGTCAATTTGGGGCACCTAGACTGTCAATCTAGGCCCCCGAGATTGTCAATTTGGGGTCCGCAGATTGTCAATTTGGGACCTTAGAGTGTCAATTGAGGGGCCCGAGATTGTCAATTTGGCCCGCACGTTGTCAATTTGGGGCCCCTAGATTGTCAATTTGGGGGGCCCCGACATTGCCCATTTGGGGCCCGCAGATTGTCAATTTCGGGCCCCGAGATTGTCAATTTGGGGGGCCCCGAAATTGTCAATTTGCGGCCCCTGAGATTGTCAATTTAGGGCCCGCAGATTGTCAATTTGGGGCCCCCGAGATTGTCGATTTGGAGCCCGCAAATTGTCAATTTGGGGCCCTTAGATTGTCAATTGGGGGGCCCGAGATTGTCAATTTGGAGCCCGCAGATTGTCAATTTGGGGGCCCCTAGATTGTCAATTTGGGGGACCCCGAAATTGTCAATTTGGGGCCCGCAGATTGTCAATTTGGGGCCCCGAGAATGTCAATCTCGGGTGTTTCGGGTTTTTTCACCTGCTGCGAAGCCACGTGGTTTCCATGGCTCCTAAGTACCTACCCGTAGGCCCCATAGTAGTTCCTTTTTGGGGTTACCTTATATAGGGTTCTATATATGAACCCCACAAAGGAGCTACTTTAGGGCCTATGGGTACGTAGTCTTGGTATCTAAGGTCAGGAGTATGGGCCCCTAAGATGGACCCTTAGGCCTTTCCATGGACTCTTAAGGGTAGATACGGGGTAAAAAGCAGGTGTATACTGTAAGGATCCCAGTGTTAAGGGCCCATACTAGAAGCCCATGGTTTCAACCTTAGATACTAGAAAGTCGCAGGGCTTCTGTAGTAGGAATTACTGTGATGGTTTGGGTAAGTCTCCCCCCATTTAGGAACTTAGGGATTCTTTGGGATCGTAAGGACTCTGCCTTCTCTCCTTGCTCATTCTTGTCTGCTGTGGCCTCCGACGTCGGAAGCCAGTGCGACGCGGCACGGTTCATGGTTCCTGAGACTTCAGAACTCCTTTGAATATGGACGGGGCCCTGACATGATTTTAGGCATATATTTTTTGGATAATGAAGGTGCCTTGGGAACTTACAGTTCAGGGTTTGTGGCTTTGGGGTTTTCTGGTTTATTCTGTTTAAGGGTGTTGGTTTGAGTGTTTGCAGTTTGGGTTTCGCCGAAGTCTTCCTTCCCCTCACGCTCCAGCCATGCAAGTGAAGGATTTGAAAAGTACCTACTTGGATCTATGTGGAGTATATTGACGTAATGTAGGGGCCTACATAATTACCAATACTATTTTGGGGGTTCCTCATTAGACTTTTAATATAGTATACCCCCAAAACCCTATTCTAATTATTGTGGCCACCATATTACCTGTGTTGATCTAGAGTCGTTGGGACCTGAAACCCTTCACTTAGTCACCCCAGAGAGAGACTGCTACCCTGCATTACCTTAAGGACCCTAGACTACGTGAGCTATGGTCTATTCCTTATAACCATGGGAATTATGTTGTATTTCTTAGATTATGGTATATATTTATTATGGGTAATGCAGGATTTATATCATGAACCGTGGCTCTTGGATCCTTCAAGTAGGCTGATAGCGGGTGCCCCGCCCGGTGACACGTAGAACCCGTCTGGAGGGGACATCCGAAACGATGCCCTTCACCTGTGAAAGCCCCTAGCCTACGCCCCATAGCCCTTGACCATTCAAAACCCTAAACCCTAAACCCTAAAGGCACTAGACCCCGTAAACCCTAAAAGTCCTAAATCCTATAAGCCTTAAACCCTAAACCATAGATCATGCCTTCAACCCTTTGCTGGAGAGCCTTGAGACCCTGGTTGCCTTCAAATGATTCTTCCCTAAATCCTAAGAGACGGTTTAGGGTTTAGGGTTAATGTGGGGGCCTGAATAATTGGAATAGGGTTTCGGGCCCATTATACTATACAGTAGGGTTTAGGGTTTAGGGTTGTATTTATAATAAGGAACCC